GTAGTGTATTCAAGCCAACCATTTCCCAAATCCCTTAAGGGTTTTTCAGTGACGTCAGGAGTAGGAGGATTCTCTTTCCTCATACTCTCTTCTCTAAGTTCCTCCATATTTGCATAAACATGTTCATCCTCTTCTGCAACTCGATTATACTGCGCACCTGACGCACTATCATAGCCAATTGCAGGGCCCTCGTCTACATCCTCCTACAGAATCAATCCCATAGTGAAATTCCACTAATTGCATATTAAAATCGACTAAGAAACACTTATCAGGAACTTTAAATCGTAACACTACGTACTAAGCCGGAATGCTGTTTACGATTTGAAGAATAACTAATTCACATAATAACCTTTAATACAGGGCATAAAAATTCAGAAGGTCCTTCATTAAAATCTTTTGACGGTTCCACCATTACTAAAGTCGTCCTCAGTTAGTATTATTGCTGATTAGCAAAGATGAAATTTTCTGCAATATTTAGTTAATTATCACTGAATTGTTGATTTTCATACTATCACTGCGACAATGAAAAAACTTTTAAAAAAATCATTAGTACTGCTCGACTTTTTCTTTTACAGTCCGTCAGGATACCAAATGCTTAGAGAGTACAAAACTTTAAAATTATTTAGTTTTTCACATCTTTTAACATGCATAAATGTAAACAGAAATTAACCTTTCCTTCAAAAGCGTGCCAATATCCGAACAATTAAGTGTAGCGTGAGCAAACCATCTTACTCGTGCCTCATAATTTTCCACCAAGTCCAACTAAATATAAGCCAAAAAAATTGATTAAATAGAAGTTCAAAAAATCACTAAAACGCCTCGACATAAAAACATTCAATAGAAAAATAATATTGACAATTTTCCCTGTGAAACTACAAAATTTACCAAGAAGACCACCACCATCTCTCGTTGAGTCAAAATATTTACTTGAAACACGATACCTTCTCCCTCAATTCTGCAGTTTCATCAAGCAACATACTAACGAGAGTTAAAAAACCGAAGCAAAAGATATGTCGCAAAAAGTGGTGCATCCCCATAATAATAACCAAATGGAGCACATAACGGAGCCCTCGGCATGATTTTCAACAGATTTAGCTACCGTTTTAACCACACATGTGGAAAACTCGTGCAAAACTATCACCTAACCGTATCAGTAGGTTTTTTCCAATAACGAAAAACAAACCGTATAAAGAAAAAAATACCAAATACGATGCTTTAAATTGAAGCCGTTTATAAATACATGAAAAAACGACGGGGGTTTACTCAAGGCGATGTAAAGAGCAAACAGAGTTTTACAATCTGAACCATAAAGAAAAGCGCATCAAAAAGTGACATAATTTTTGGCAAACAATTCGAACTCAATGGCAGTGAATCATGTCAGCATCAGCAAACAGCCATGCGAAAAATAAAGCCCCGAAAAACGCCGTGTTTATTAAATTCCTCCAAAAATACAACAGCACTGCCGAATTGCAATTATACAAAAAAATTCTACAGCAAAATTTCACGATGAAAATTCCTCACCAAATTTATATGAAAATGTTGAAGAAAACAAAACTGTCCCACTCCAAAACAATGTTTTTCCTTACCCGTGTAAAACTCTTAATAGAGCTAAGAGATGAAGAAACGCGTAACGACTGTAAGCAATCAGCAACAACTGATAAAACCTCGAAAAAAAAAAAGGAAAAAAAGTACCTAAGAAAGGCTACTTACGTCGGAGCATTAGTACAAAAACCAACTTATACTGTCGTTCCGAAATCATAAAAAAACTTACAACTTCAAGATCTGTTGAGTACGAGTATTCAGGACACAGAAAATTCCATCCAATGCAGCTATATACGCTAATATCTGAACCCACCGCTGGTTACAAAAAGTTTTTGCTGCAGAAAGTTCATTTTGATCAGTAACAATAAATCTGATTTCGTTTCAAAACCAATAAAATTTAAATGTTTTTCAGCTTGTCAAACAAATTGGACCGAAAAAAATTTTTTTCGGTTTAGGCTTTCGTTTAGACTTTTCTTCACAGTTCACAACTTTTTCGTAACAAGTACAGCTAATGTTGTTGACAATGGAAGACATGACTTAAAAGATTTTTCTTTTTGAACAAAAGGAAGATGCACGAAAGGCTTAAAAAGTTGTCTTGTTTAGCGTGTAAAACCGAAGTTTTTTAAGAATAGCCAATGAATTTGAAAGAAAAATGCTAAATGATTTTGCTAGGTACACGGGGAAGCTCTAGCTATAAAAAATTCAATGCAGTACAGTACTTTACTGTACCTTTCATCTGCTACACCGAAGTTTTCAACCTGATCTCCTTATATTTCAAGCAGTAGTAAAATCGGATGGTTGACAAGTTCCCGCCTTCCTTTAAAATTTTGGCAGTTGGCATTTTCTGCAGTTTTTGCCTTTGTTTAAAAATTCATTTTCGAAAAAAGATCGGCAACTGAACGTATCCTTCGGGGTGAAGATGCTTCTCATCAGGATTGTGGGAATATCAATCTTTTCTTGGCAGAGAAAGAGCTGTAAAAAATGTTCATTTTTCTCGGCGTGGCATCCAAATTTGAAGGCTTGAAAACTAATAAAAATTAACTTGAAAGGAATGCGCAACATAGGTCCAAGTAGAGCAGAAAGTCTCCTTTTAAACGGTCAAAAGCATTACTGCAAAAATCTTAATAACAACCGAAATATTAGAATTTTTTGAAGGACTGCGAGAACTTGGCTGTCAATTTGACAAAATTCGATCTGCAAATTAAGATCAAACCTGTTTTCTAAATGTTTCTTGTGTATGTCAAAATTTTGGAGGGTCAAAAATTAACCTCACAAATTTTTCTAGCAGGAAGTGAATAATTCGTAATTTAGAGAACTTATAATACTTCACAGCTTCCTTCCTGCAGTACTTATCAAACTCTGACATCGCAGGTAAACCATATTAAAGTTCACTAGAACTTCGTGTAAACAGTTATCCAACTTAATTTCTAAAAAGAAAAGTGAGCGCCCTTTTTATTTGAAATAGGGATTTTTTAAGTGAAGACTATCATTTACTTTTTGCCTCTCATCTATATTCCATCACAGAGCATATTTTTATAGCAAGCCTCTATTTAAATAAATATAAGTCCTCAGGTCTAATGCATTTCTTAGCCCAGAACTTGACGTTATACAATACTGGTTCTTCCGTACCTCGCTTCCGTGAAGTAACGCGATCGACCAAAGCAAACTGTCGTCTAAGATTACAAGAGATTAACGCCGTCCCTATAAGCAAATAAAAAAAAATATTTTATATACGACTAACAAGTATAGAAGGCCTGTTAAGGACTTGGACAAAAGGACTGATAAACTACAGGAAAGTGGTTCTTATAGCTAGGAATACAAGACAGAAGAAGAGTAAGGAGCACGTGAAATGGTGTTAAAAGTAAAAAAAACAAATAAAATAAAATAAAAGTGAGGTAAATAGCTCTTGAATACACCAATGGTATTGCAAGCAATGGAAGGAAACTTCAGCCAAGCCCTATCAGTTAAGTGTGTCCATAGCCAAACTTAAATTTTTTTAACAGCTTACTCTCATTTCTTTATATTTGATGTTTTTGACCCTACCATATTCATCTGAAGTAATTTAGAAACGTTATATTTCTTCCTTTTCAAGAACTGGTGCTAATCTGTGGTTTTAACTCCTATGCTGATCCATAACGGTAAGACCCCAAATGACGTGCGGTATAATGGAAGATAAGCTTTTTTAAACAACTGTAGGAATTTAGGGAGCTTTAAGCCACCGTCTCGAAATTCCCTGCTAATACTGTCACAGTTCTTGAAATACTGGTAACTGCCCCAAAAACGTTCACGTGATCACCGCCTTTCAGCTGCTTGCGACGAACTTATTGATCCATTCAATGTATAAAATGACCAAAGAAGCCATTAAGATGGACTTCTTAGATTAAGCGAGTAATATACACATTAAATTATGTTCATCTCTTATACTCATTACTTTACAAAAAATTGTAGAAAGTACTTTAAACTTCCAACTTTCGCTCTCTCTGCTCGATGGTACTTGTTTTAAAGTGGTAAGACTATGACTATGTACTGCTACACGACTCACAACAGTACGCAAATGGCCACCTCCCTAAAGGTATTGACTACTGAACAGTTCCTGAAAGGAAGCTTTTGGAGAGCAGGCAGAGTTTTTAGTTTTTCAGAACCAAGCTTCAAAATGGTTTCCCATTGTTTCGTCTCCCATTCTTTGTCGGTCGATTTTGGTTTGCCCCAAAATTGAGCTATTTTACACTTTGTAAATCGTACCCCGCGGCAGCTTATAAGGTTTTCCGCTTTAGTTCAGTACTCCAATTTGCCTTATTCGTTGACCGGTTTCCTTTTTGCTCCTATAACTCTTTATCATGTTCTTCATTATATTAGGTAAGGTCCCTGACGTGCGTTCGAAGAGTCTTTTTAATATAACATCGAGTCTAAATACCTCAAATATTTTTCAGATTGTGGTGTACTCAGGGACCTTGAGCAATAAAGAGTTGTAAATTAAAGACCAGTATGACACTGGGAGACGAACATCACCGCATTGAGTGTTTAGGCCTCTTAATTGTGCTGGCATAGTGAGCATTGGCGACTACAATTGTTTACAGGAGTTAAGTAAAAGAATAAGGCTTCCAGTAGAAACGTAATTAGAGAAATTGTGATCAACTATCTAATTAAAGGAGAATGTCGGTAGTCGCGACAGTATTACTATGTGAGTTCTCTATAGGCTTTATAATCAAAATCCCTTTCTATATGCCGGTGTATGATTAGCGTCTAGTCTGGTAATCAACATTTTACAAGCTATTTTGTTGAAACAATAAAGCATCGGGCAAAATCAAGTACTGCATCGTAAATAATGGCACAGTACTTAAGGCCTGGGGCCTAAAGCTAAACTGGCTCAAACATCTGATGATACTCACTTTTTCATCTAAAAGGATCTTAAAAACAGGGTTATCTGATACAATTTTCTATTTCAAAAAAATGGGATAAAATAAGATGGAGGTTAGTGTGATCATTGTTTTTAGCGTTATGGTTACATTTTAGCGAAAAACAATGAAATGTGTTGTTGCTCTTCTCCAGCACCGCA